ATAGATAGATAGATAGATAGATAGATAGATAGATAGATAGATAGATAGATAGATAGATAGATAGATAGATAGATAGATAGATAGATAGATAGATAGATAGATAGACTGATTGGCAATGGGTCGTCCTATTATCTAAGACGAAGACATCATGCCGTTGCTGGGGTTGACAAATTTATCGACAGACGCATCAGCCGGGATTAGGCCAATAAATTGACGGCGATGACGATTGTGACGATGACGATGAAACAAAAAAATCCGCCAGAGAGTTTAGTAACGCATGGCTGCGTGTGGTTACACGGTTACCAGGTTCGATTGCAAAGATGAACTCTTAAAAAGAATTGGCTTTGAATGTTGTGCGTCTGATGATGTAGGTGTGTTGGTCGATATAGAATAAGATGCAACCACGACTGGAACGATTTGAACATGCAATTATGGAATAAATAAGTTGACCGTGCTGACCGGAAGATGTTTTAAGAAGTTTGTGGTCTTTTCTCTTTTCAAAAATAGGCCCTCCAATCAATCAATCTGTCATAAATGTATTTTGTCATTCATTCATCCATTCATTCGTTCGTTTGTTTGTTCATTTATTCAGTCAATTATTCATTCACTCACTCATTCGTTTATCCATGTTCTTTGTTCATCCATTCATTTTTACTGTTCGTTCGTTTGTTAATTCTATCATATTTTCATTAATGATGGTAATGATGGTAGGTGAGTTAAATATAGAAACATACTATAACGGGTTTACCATAATAATAATAATAATAATAATAATAATAATAATAATAATAATTATTATTATTATTATAATAATAATAATAATTGTTTTAATTAAAAGTTAATAATAATAATAATAATAATAAATATTTTTATTATTATTATTATTATCACGTCATTAATGATGACCTAACAACGATTAAAATTATTAATCGTTATTTTTGTGTTTCAATTATGTTATTAATATTTTGTCTTTGTATTAATATATTCGGATGCACCTACAATGGATGTCGCAATTGTCATCCTTCTCATCGTCATCATTATCATCATTATCGCTATCGTCATCATCATCTATCGTCATCATCTTCATCTATCGTCATCATCTTCATCTATCGTCATCATCTTCATCTATCGTCATCATCATCATTTTAGAATAGTTTCATTGATGCGTTGCAATTGTCAGTCATGAAACCATCATCATGTTATCATCATCACTTTAATTGCAATTTATTGATTTGTTTGCCATTGTTTTGGGACAAGCATTAAGTCAGCCATCGGTGAAACTGTCGTCGTCATCATCACCATTATCAACATCATCATCATCAACAACAACATCATCATCATCATCTTCATCAACAACAACATCATCATCATCATCAACAACAAAAATAACAACATCATCATCATTATCGTCGTCACCAGTAACATTGTCAACAACAACATCATCATCGTCACCATCATCATCATCATCACCGTCATCGTCATCATCGTCCACGTGGTATTTATACTTAACGCTTAAAACCTTGGCACTATCAGATGCTATAAAATTTTTGAGGACTCCCAGCTCAAGAGATTTATATCAAAGATGACATTCAAAAATTGATGACGATGACGACGATGTTGTTGATGTTGTTGATGATGACGATGGTGATGCTACCGTTGTTAAGCATGATGATGATGATACCGCTATAGATGTTGTCATGTTGTTTCCGCTGATAATTATGACGATAATTACAATGAAATTATGAAACAATAAATTTTTTATATTAAATATATATTTTTTATCTGATTAATCTCGAATAAAAAATTCTCCGTGAATTATGTAACCAGAAATAATTTCTAATTGTCCTTATTTTCACTCATCCAACATCCAACAAAAATGATAAATGATAAAATTTCAATGGGTTTCCAACGCTTTTCAAAGTTTCTGGGTGCGCGAAAATTTAAGCACATTAGTTTATCTTTGTAGTTTCATATTATTTAGAATATTATCTTCTTTTTTGAAATCTTTCATGTTCAGTTTTTACGCTTCACGAAATAAACTTGTTAAAAAAAATCTTTGTGGTTGGGAATTTTAATGGTTTCTCTCGTCTGATAGATAATTTTATATTTTATATTTTTCGTTTGTTATTCATTAATATATATAAATAGTTATTATTACCACTGAAATAATTTTTTTGGAAATTTCACTAAAATTCTCAAGGAACGTGTAGGCTCTTTGTGGAGGCTCTAACTTTTTTATTACAGATAAAGTTTATACCATGGTTAGGTTGAGATTATGCAAATGTTTTTTGTATTCAATCAAGATCCTTCTCATGAAAAAAAACACACACAAACAAACTCAAACAAACAAACACACACACAAACAAACAAACACAAACAAACACAAACAAACACACAAACAAACAATCTCACGAATACGTACATTGGAAAAATTTTTGATAAAAAAGAAAATTAGAAAAAAATCATTACTTGGCGGACATCATATACCCGGAAATAAAATGTAGGTAATCCTGCTCACGAGGTGTCGATGTTTATGGTTGATCAACATTTTCTTAAACGGCCTGTGAAAATTTAATTTTTTTTGTTTGTTCCAAATTTAATAGGAAAGAAATTCAAAAATTACAGTTACATTTTCTTTTTTTGTGGAGACCTCTTTCTATGTGTGGGCCTCATGGCCTACTATCTTCCCATGTTTATAATAATAATAGCAAAAGAATAATAAAAAAAATAATAGAAGTTATAAAAAATATCAATAATAATAAAATCGAAAATTTCAACAAGTGTAAAAAATGTTTATATATAGGTGTAAATGTTGGAAGAGTTTTTTCAACATAATTAGTGAAGAAATACCTTTTTTTATGTCGAAGAGAGATATTTTATTTTCCTCGAGTCTAGGCATATATAGTGTCATGAATAATAAAAAATAATACGCCTAATAATAATAAATTAGTTATTTCAATTAATTAATTAACTAATTAATTAAATTTTAATTGCAGAACTGGACTTCATAAATTCAACACTGCACACTCAGGAATTGGAGAAAAAGAACTCACAGCCTGCAACATAGTTCGCCACACACACACGCACACACACGCACGCGCACACGCACAAACAGACGTACACGCACACACACACGCATTGACATATACGAATCAATGCAAGTACATTATTGGTCGTTAAATTTTCGCTTTTCATACCATTAAATATTTTTTCAAAGATTTAATTTCTGGCCTATTTTAATTCCAATTGGTGAATTTGCAAATAACTGTTAAACCAACAACAACGTAATGTGTAGTTTTGATAAAAATTCATTGAATAGCGTATCAAGTTTATTGCAGAGACATATTAGCGATTTAGTATCTTTTAAACAGTTTTTGAAATACTTTTTCAGAAATATTTTAAAATATTAATTTCTCTATTAAATTGAAAAAATTGAAATTTCAATTAATTAATTTGTTAAAAACTAAATCAAAATATGAATATTGTAAAAAAAACATATCCACAGTTTACTTGTATAAAATAGCAAAAACAATTGTTGAAATTGAAACGCTATTCAACACGTTAATGTATGTGAGGTGGTGCGAATTAGTTTTTTAGCAGGAATAGTTGATTTTAATTGACTTCTTTTCAAATCACTCCTCTATGAACTTTTTCGAAATGAAAGCTTTTAACTCCCTACTGCATTATATAACCATTCGTTTTTAAATTTGATGTTATAAATAGACGATAACGCGTTTATTCAAGGAAAGTTTCATCAACGATTTCCACGGTTGATAGGAGAGAAGCAGGTAGCGATCTAAAAAATGTTTTTGTTGATTTCTCTTGAGAGACTCAAATTAATTGAACTAAATTAATATTTAATTAATATTTAATTAAATTAAATTAATATTTACACGGGATAAACCAGAATTTAATTTAAATTCATCCGTAGTTATTGAATTAAACTTTCAAATTAGCAAGATATATCCATGAACAAATATTTGATCTTACGCTCTATTTTATCATATTTACAACACGTAAAATTTTTTCTTGAACTTTTTTTTTGTCTACATCAATAGCGACTCTGACGGGCGCGAAGCTGTTTACTTACCACTCCTTACTTCTATATATTCTATATTATTAAACTTTCGTGTTACATAGACTGCAGGCACGCACCTCACAATGCCATCACCGTATCATACGCACATGATTTGTGAAGATTTCTGACTTTCGAACAGAGAGTTTTAGAACCAGATCATTGAGCAATACCGCCGAACGTGACACGACACTTCTACTCTCTAAGCTGGCTCGACAACCATTCAATTGCTTTAATTATTACGCGTAGAATGTTTGAAAGGCGTTCTGTTTTTTTAAAGCGTTTCCTAGACACTTGTAGATTTTAATTTGGAGCGTGTCTATAAATTAATTGAGGACCCATTAGCTGAAGACGTGCAGCTATCAAATGGCACCCGACGGACAGTTTTTTTTATAAAAAGTGCCATTTCATGTTTTTTTAATTTTTTTTCTAACCGTGAAAAATGTGTTCAGCACATACTTTCTAATAAACTAAATAAAAACTGTACGTTGAGAAAACATGGTACAAATAATTTGAAATAGTGATATAAAAATATTTAGCCAAAACATTGTGCTCCAGTTCAACGTCTTCTTTTGATGTTAGATGTTGTAAAACAACTAAGAAATTGCTTTGGTTAATCGGAGTTATAAAATAATTTGAAACTTTAATTCGCGAGTAAACAAATAAGCAACAAACTAAGTACCAACTGCACGTTCATTGGGTTATAAGAAGTTCCTTCTCTCTTTTACTATAAACTTATTTAAATTGGCCTGGGAGCAAACTTGACGACAGGTGTCTGAGTGAGGTGCAACTTCAGTGTACATTTTTATAATTAGTATTTTTTAAACATTATAATATATTTTATTATAACCACGTATATTATTGTTGATATAATCTTGGCGTGGCTTGGGTTGGTTGCACACGGTCCATGGAATATAATTTTAACTTCAAAAACGTCAGCAAAACGGCAGTTGTCAGAAAGAAGTTACGAATCATACATCAAACGATACATGACGATGATGACGTTTGCTCAGATGTGCGTGCACTCTACGCATGAACTCTCTGGTTTCCTGCTGCCACTCAGTGCATCTCCTACCAACAAAAATAATTTCATTCTAGTTATTTTTATTTCAAAATTCCATTTCATTTGGACTTTTGAAAGATGATTCAGGTTAGCATAATTTTATAAAAAAAAAATCTTTTTTTTGTACCCGTACAACTAAACAAAATTATTTATAGAGCAATTTATAAAGTAAGATATAGACATATACATTGAATCAACATAGACAATGTTAATGACAAACGATTGCTAATTTTTTTTTCTCATATAAAAATACAGGCGGTTTAAAATAGTTTGATGGAAAATTACAAGAGTGATAAACAATTGAATCACAGCTTGGGGGAAGTTATAAGTAGAATTTTTAATTTCTCAAATCAAATTTTCAAGAATTCATTTACAATTATTTCATTGCCAACAGCTTTAACGTTCTTATAATATTGTGCTATGTATTATAATAAATAAAAAAATAAATGTACTTATTTAAATGTATACATTTAAACGTCTATATACCGTCTTTTGAATAAATAATAAACGCTCATGAACTGGAGAAAAAAAAACTCAGCGTGCAACATAGTTCGCCACACACAATCACGCACACACACACACACACACACACACACACACACACACACACACACACACACACATACATGATGACACACACACGCACGTGATGATGATGATCAGGCCAGCGATTTATACCAATTATTTGAGCACTGTTTGTGCGTTCTTCGACAATGGCATTCCATCTGGGACATGCTTTATTAGAGGCGTGTCTGTTCACTGGAGATGAAAGAACAAAATATTTTTGTTCCTTTTCTGTCTTGCTAGCCAAAATTTACTTCAGTCTATTTATTGACAAATGTTAACCACTGGCTAAATTAACGTAAAAAGTAATAGCAGGGTTATAAGTATTCATTTGTTTTTTCCACATTAAATTGCAGATTGTTTCTTAAGTTAAATAAATGTACCTCGTGCAATAAAAACAAAATATAACAGCTTTATTATTTGTCAACTTTGTAAATCTAAATAAATAAACACGCGGAGACCATAAAAGTGACCAGAGAAAGGACCATAGAAGTGACAATAGAAGTGACAATAGAAGTGACAATAGAAGGGACCATAGAAGTGAGTCTCATGATGAGAAACCGATGACCACTCAATACACATATCCTTACAATGCTTGTCAATATCGAGCTGATGCAAAGAATAAATTCGCTCGAGCAAACATTTTTACAGAGTAATGCTCCTACAGTATTGTACATTCGTGTGCCATTATCAGTTTTATTTCATCATAACAATGAAAATATGTTTTTTTATTGCTTTCATTATGTTTATTTATTTATTTTTAAAAAGTTTAAACATAAAAATATATATCTAACGTCTGATCATTGAACTAAAAAATGCAAATTGAAAAACAAAACAGATGAAAATTATTTAGTTTTCAGAACAAAAAATAATCAGAGAACTTTTAGCTTAGGCAGTGGAGCAGGCTTTGAAGTGAAGTGAGAGTGGAGTGAATAAGAGCCCTTCATGGCACGGAAGAAAATAATTGACACTTGAATATGGAACATTTGGCGCTGATTTGTGCTTACCGACGTCGTCAAAGACGTGCAAATTTACCAAAAATCATAGTGTCGATAATGAATATTCGTTATCGGGTACTCTGCAAAAAACTTCGTTAAGATGATTTTTGTTGATGGTTAATTGAAAGAGAGAAAAAAATATGAAAAGAAATTTTTAATAAGAGTCAACAGACATTTTCAACAAAATTAATCAAAGTTCTTTTAGCTAAAAACTTTTTTCCAAAAAATTGAAAACATGTAAAAAGAGTGATGAACATTAATCGAAAGAGTCTTTAATGTTTTTAAGTTTCACTTCTGGACAAACGGCGATGATTTATAAAGCCATCTTCCATCTTCTCCTTCTCAGACACGGGTGGGAATAATTGAGTGACCAAAAAAAATCCATCACTGGCATGTTCGACATGGTAATACAGCCACATTTTCATGCAATGCCAAATTGACACTTGCAAGAGAAACAAAAGCCTCCCCATCAGAATAACAAACATTCCAATTCGCTATAATCGCCCACTCCAAAACCGACACACGCATACGCACGCACGCACGCATGCACACGCACGCACGCAAACGAGTATACAACACATGCACATAACATTTCGACTTTGAGAGTTGCGATCTCCCAAACAAATGTATCAAATGTTCGTTTTTTAAGTTTCTGTTTTTAATGGTTATAACATTTCAATAAAAAAACTTAAAAATTTTCATAAAAATTGTGGTTGACCAAAAAAGTTACAAACACACATACACGCACATGCAAAAACACACATAGACATGCAGACACACACAAACACACACACAGGCAAACACACACAAGGAAACATAAACAAATAAACACGAAATATTTCAAATGTCAGACCAAGCATAAGCGTGCAATGGGATTCGCGATAAAAATACGAAAAGCAGCTACGATTCACTCTTATTTGCCTAAATTTAAGAGTCATATAAAAAAAGAAAATAAATAATTGTCACTACATCCTTTGGTTTTTATATAGGGTGCGTCCATAAATGGAGTCCCGTTATTTTTGCGATTTTCCATGAACAGCTCCATGGCGTCTTTCTGTCTTAAACCTTTGAAAACTTTCTAGTAGGAATTCTCAATATCGAAATTGAAAAAATTTTCTAGAAAGCTGCATCGAGGTTATGGAAATGAAGATGACGATGAAGAAGATGTTGAAAGTGATGATGTAGAAAAGTCATCATCAATGATGACAATAGGATCAATGTGACGGATGATGAGGATTATGAAGATGATGATGACAAAGATAAGGAAGACGATGACATGACGATGACGACGAAGATAACAACGATGATAATGTTAATGCACTGTCGGAAAATGATGTCTTTAATGTCTCCATTCATTTTACCTGAGTGATCTCTATTTAGAGGTGAAATGTGAATCAATATACTACTCTATTGTACGTTTCCTAAGCAACCTTTATTTCAAATAGATGTCGAATAATTTAATTAATTTTTTAAATAAATGATTAGATAATATAACGTCGTCCTATGGCATATCAAATAAACCAGTTTTTAATCTTGTTGCGACATAAATATATGAGTATCATGTTATCTAGTATCTAATCATCTGAGAAAGATATCATTCTGATTAAGTTTGTTTATTTCAATTTAGTATTTTCCATTTTAAAAAAAGAGTGTTTAGTTGACATCTGATCTCTTGAATAATAGACATTAATTAAAACTTATTTATTGAATGTTTTTTAAATATTTTTTTTAAATGATGTAAAATGATGCTAAACTGTTTTTAGGATTTTATTAACAGAGTGAGTGAGATGAGTTAAGGAACAGTCGCAATAAAATACAATTGATTATATTGATAATATATTATATTATAAATTAAATAGATGTAATTTTTAAGCATAATTTAGATCTAAAGTTGAAGAAAACTGTAATAACATTTTAAAAGTCATTCAACTTTTGTAGAAACCTATTTTAAGAATATTCAACTTTGCTAACCAAACATTAACAATTGTTCGACGATTTGCCGATCTGTTAACGCATACCAACCAGATGAAAATTGAGATAAATAGCTAAGAAAATGTTTTCTCATCATTCTATATCAAGTGATATATTTGTCTTAAAAGCATGTAAGTGAAAAATTTCTATTACATGTTTTTTTATAAAAAAAAATTGTACTTTATCTGATTAAAATTAATTTGTTTGTTATGTCATAAAATTCGATATTCAATTGTATGTATGTAACTGATTCAACGAACATGTCACTTAGCTCAGGCACAAACCAAAACATTTTTCTGCTGCATAAATCACTCATATTTGTATAAAAAAATTGTTTGTACATATGAATGTAGGTAAATGTTTAAATTATAAATATATACAAAAATGTTACTTTACACACATATAAGCGAGCGTAAAACCCCAGGCTGTTATAAACATCTGTAACCTCAAGTTCTTCGTTTATTAATGCCCATATGGCATAGACGCAAGTGTGGAAAGAATATTGCATGGAGGCAGATGGGATGTGGTGTGGCATGGATGACGTGTAGCCTGCACGTGGTTGGGCGGTTCTCCTTATTCATTGAAACTTCCAGACAGAATTTTATTCCAAAGAAAATTCTTCAGATGTGTTTTGAAATGTTTTGTTTTTATTTTCTTAGGTGAATAATATTTCACGCTTTTAGTTTTTTTAATAGTTGGAGTAATGTTTTTCAGTTTAGTTTTTGTTTTTGAACTGGTAACATTGAGATCAGATTCTTAATTCAGTTTGTGTAATTATAATGTTATATAATAATTATTTCTCAATATCCGCGGGGAAATTTCATTGTTGTCACACTTTTTTGAAGTTACAAATTCCACTTGATTCAACAATGGAAAGTACAGAATGGGATTAAATCCATTAAATCCTTCCGACTCAACATCCGGTCATTTGAGTGAAATGGCGAACATTTTCATACACCCCACCAACAGGAACGGTTACGACATCGGTGATGAAGACGACGACGATGATGATAACATCAACGCCCAGGAATCATATTTTCTCTCAACATTCCTCCAAACATCTAACTCATCATCGCCATCTCCATCATCGCCATCATCATCACTTGAACAAAACGCGCTTTCAACGAAATGGAAGCTTGCCATCACCTGTTTTGCACTAGCACTGTTCAGCCTAGTGACCATCGTAGGAAACATCTTGGTCATCTTGGCCGTGTGCAGGGAGAGGTACTTGAGGACGGCCACCAACTACTTCATCGTCTCGCTGTCGTTGGCCGATCTACTCATTGGGGCCCTCGTCATGCCTTTCAGCATTTCGTTGGAGGCAGAGAGCGGAGTGTGGAGGTATGGGAAGACGTGGTGTGATTTGTGGCACTCTTTCGATGTTCTTGCAAGCACTGCTTCAATACTCAACTTGTCCATCATATCACTAGACAGGTTAAACTTAATCTATCAAATTGTTGATGAATTGAAATAATGATTTAATTGAATTATGGTTTTGTAATAACTTAAATTTTATACATTGTGTTCATTTGATGAAGTTTTTACATATTTTCACAATTGGATAACATTTTTCTTTTATCAAGTTTACAAAAGTTTAAAAAAAATCATCTTTTCCAAAGTGAGCTGAACAACCAAAGAGTCAAACGCGCCGTAGGGTGATGTTAATGCTGTTTAATTGCATTATGCTTGCACCTTTTAGTGCAAACCAACTTTTAAAATGTAAGCCAAATTATATTTCAACAAGATTTTCCGTACGCGAATCATTCGTTATACTAAAGAATAAAAAGTTGAAATTAAGAATGAATGTGAATGTATTTAATGACAAAGTACTCTGTCATTAAGCACATATGTACTCTGTTATTAAGTACATTCTGAATTTCTGAATGTCAAAAGGTTTTTTAATTTGAAGTAATTGTCCTGTTTTATTTACCATTGCGTTCGTCCGGTTCAAATTACAACAAACTGTCAGTTCTAATTTGCTGATTGGCTGATATGTGATGGCATTTAAAAGCAGTTATGGAAAATAATTAAGTTTTCAGTTTAGTACATTTTTCATATTTATCATTTGAGTGTAAAAATATATATATTTAATTTTTTTTAATCATATTAGTTCTTCAAAATTTTTGCTCTATGCACTAAATTGCAAAAAATATTTAATGAAATGAATTTTGAAGCCGCATTTATCACCGTGAATGAAGATTTTATGTTTTAATAATAATAATTGTATGATTTTTATGTTCAACTAAATTAATTCATGTGTTTTTATGGAAATTTTTGTTAAGTTTTTCAAAACTTTTTTTCTCAACACAATGAGATTTTTAATTAATTATTAATAATTAAACACGCAGTCAAATTACAATGCCTCGTAAGAAATGAGAAACCATTGTTCATTTTCTATCGCTGATGTCATTTAAAATTAATGAAACGTTCCGTACAGCTTACTCGAATGACTTTAAAGTTGATAGAATGTGGTTGTTGTTACAACAAATATTGTTATCATCTTTTTTTGTTAATGTCAGTGGATGTGTTTTTGTTGATGTCATCAATTTTTGTTAATAATGCTAGGTGTTAACGTTCGGATCATTGTCGTTACATCAAAACTCGCCTCGAAGTTTAAGAAAATTTTAATTGTACAATTTGTAAATTTGCTAACCGACATAAATTTTCTAAATTAATATTTTTGAACAAAATGTTTTTTTTTCCTAAAAACGCAATTTAATTTTTCTTATAAATACAAAACATCGCTTGTTTTTGGAGTTCGTGTAAGCAAGTTTTCGCTTTGAAAACGAAACAAAATTTAACAAGCTGTGTAAACATCACAAGACCCAAAATAATTTCAACTTTTTATTTTCGTCTCACATCAAATAAAGCAAGTGCGCATTGCTTGGGTGTTCTACTTTTTAAGCAAACTATAATAATAACTATAGGGCATACTTCAAAAAACTGAAAATAACATTTCGTTCAAATTGATACGACATATTTTTTTATGAAAGTTTTAACACCCATTCAAGTTCATACTTTGTTTAAAATTTATTCTATCTCTCGCTTTTATAATAGTTAAATAGATATAAGTTAAATTATATCAATTGAACAATAAAATTAAACTATAAAACCGGTAGTCCAAAATGTTTTAAACCTTTCAAACTATATAAAATTAAAACAAATATTCACCGTCGTTGAAGGAAATACTCAAATAAATAAACAAAAACTCAAATATATCAACAAATAGCAACATAGGCAAACAAGCAAACATGTTTGTTTGCAGGTACTGGGCCATCACGGACCCCATAGCCTACCCCCGAAAGATGTCGTCCAACAGAGCCCTTTTCCTGGTCGCAGTAGTCTGGCTCTGTTCGGCGTGCATCAGCTTTCCAGCCATCTTCTGGTGGGACCAAGTGAATCCACACCTCAGCGTTGAGACCGTCTGCACTTTCACGGAAGACTCCATGTACCTCGTCTCCTCATCTCTCATATCATTCTACTTGCCTATGTTCATCATCTTCTACGCCTATTACAGCATCTACAACGCCGCAGTGAAGCAGAAAAAAATTTTAATGTCGGGGACGATGACGATGGCCAACAAGAGTAAGAAATATTTGCCAAGAGATATGAACGAGGAGAGTGACATGTTGACCATTCGCGTGCACAAAGGAGGGTATAAACACGTCAAAACGAAGTTTGAGCAGGTTTGTTGTCTGTCTGTCTATTTGTCTGTCTGTCTGTCAGACTGTCTGTCTGTTTGTTTGTTATTTTTGTTTCAATTAAATAAACTATTTTATTTATAATATATTTAAATGAAAAAATAACACAGAAGAGTCTTTGTCCTTGCGGAAATGATCTAGAGAATAGGGAATATAATGCGTAACGTTAACATAGTGAACATCGTTACAAATTGAAGGTGCCACATTTAATGCATAACAATCAAGCAGGCACACGAAACAAACCATCGTTTGCGTGTGGTGTGGTGTGTGTGTGTGTGTAAATGTGTGTGTATGATTGTGTTTGTTGTTTGTGTATGAATGTGTGTGTAACCTCAAAACATGTTTGTATATGTACGTCTTGTGGGGGTGTTAGTGGCATAGCGTTCTAGTTTTGTGAGGTGTTTGTTGAATTATATGTTATTATTCTATTTTTATTATACATTTGTTGTGAATGTCACAGTTTTTTTTTATTTTATTTTATTTGTCACAGTTTAAAAAAATTAACCCAACATGAAACAAATGACTATCTCCAGAAAATAACTCTAACTTTTCTTTCAGGGCTATTCTGAATTTCCTTTTTTTTTCAATTTGAATTTGTGAAATTCTTTTTGCCACGCCTGTTGTAGAAACAATAATTGACAATAGTTTTAATTTTGACTTGCCTTTTATACTTTCAAAAAACAATTGATAGCGGTATGCGAATTTAAACTTTTGTCAACAAAAAATTAGTGAATTAATAATTTAGTTTAATTAATTTTTTTTAATTTATTATTTTGCACATAAAATGCTTTAAGATGAATTGTTGAGAGTAGATTAAAATTGAAATGCGACTGATGGTCGGTAGGACATCATTCGGACATTATACTCGGATGAAATAAAATCGAATCGGTTGCAACAACACTTGTTATACAAACTAAACTTAACGTTAGTTATTCCCATAACTTTGTTTTGTAATTAATTCTTTCGTAAAAAATATTAATACTTTTTTTATTTCGCGTCATCATTAAAGCGAATGAATTAATTTTACAAAATGTAGTTTGAACATTCCAAAGCTATCAATTTCTATATGTTTTTTTCTGAAAAATTACATTAGCATTGGCAAACATGCAAACATGAGAATTTGTAAAACTTCAATTGTACGAGCCTGCGTAGAACACAATACATCAATTTGAAAGGCCCCGGTGAGAAACAGAAAAAATTTGACGTTACTGAACAATTGAAACGCTAAAAAAAACGTTTTATGAATTTTTCGCAATTTAATTTATTCATTCATTTAAAAAAATGGAATTTCTTGCAAAATGTAAGGACATGTTAATTAGCGACTTATCACGTTTGTTCAAAGGTGTTTTTTGTAGTTTTTTATTTTCATAGATTGTAGTGAGACAAGGAAATAAATTTTAAAACATTTTTTTCATTTATTAATCATGGGGCTTTAAAGGTTTGCCAAATTTTTTATCGGCTAACTGGGATTGAACTAGCATTAACAAACAATCTCCAACCAGCACGCTACAATTAACTAAACAACACTACAAACCATCAAAACAGGACAGCAAAACAACAATTCAACAAAAATACAATAAGTTAACATTAACAAAAATTTATCAAACACAACAAACAACACCAACTAACAACACCAACTAACAACCCAACTAACGCAACAAACAACACTACAAACATCACAAACACTACAAACAACACAACAAACAACACAACAAACATCACAAACACTAGAAACAAGACTACAAACAAACAACACTAAAAACATCACAAACACTAGAAACAACACTACAAACAAACACAACAAACAACACACACCAACAGACGTACAAACATCTGGACGAATACTCATCAACTTCGAGCGGAGGAGGATCGTTGGGGTTGGAACTAATCATTCACCCATTCAAACAACAACCACTGCAACCGTCAACAACAACAACAAAAACTCAACCACCACCATCATCATCATCATCACTGCTACTCACATCATCACTACTCAGAACTCAACAGAACGTCAGACCCTCAAGGCTCATCTCAAAAAAATGGGCCACTTTTACTTTACGGCAACGTATCAGCAGGGCGGCCAAAGAACAGAAAGCCGCTAAAACTCTTGGATTTGTGGTCGGCGTTTTCGGCTTCTGTTGCTTCCCGTTTTTTGTAACGAACCTTTTATATGGCGTCTGTCACAAGAACTGTGTTCCCAATGCTGATATCGTCTTTCCGATTTTCACCTGGCTTATGTACGTCAACTCTGGAATGAATCCTTTCATCTACGCCTACTCGCTGCGAGATTTCAGGAGAGCTTTCTTGAAGATTTTGTTTTGTCGAACTGGTAAAAGCGTCTGCAAGTGTTCTTGAGTTTTTCTACTGTTTTACGTATCTGACAAATTCTCAAAACGTTTCATTGGCATTTTTGAAATTATTTTACAAAAAAATCTTATAAATTTATATACTTTTTTCGTGAGTTTTTGAAAATTATTTTACTTTGTATAGTTACGTTGTATTGTATCGGTATTTTGATTAAATTGTTTAAAAATATTGAACGTTGATCATTAAAAATAGGAGACACCATTTATACAGAAATATATAGTTATACATCAGATCTGACAGCGATAGTTTTATTATCGATCATAATTTATCTTAAACATCTTAGCGATGAACCAATTGATCGATTTTGTCTTATATACACACACACACACACACAATGCAAAATACACAGACACACACACACACCCACACAAACAAACAGCACACACAAACAACACACACACACCCTAACAAACACACTCAAACAAACACACACAGACATTAAATAGATGCCATAGATCCCATATTCACAAATAAAACACTGTACGAAAAAGTATAACGCTGAATAAAACAGTCTAAATTTAATTTTTGTCATTCAATTTTTATCTTGAATTTTATTATAAATTTTTTGTATGGTTTTCAAGAGTTTTGTAACAAAAATATAAACCTTGTTTATTTTACAATTAAGTTTTGTGTTGTTTAAAAAAATAAATTTTATAAATTAGCTAAAACTTGGCTGTTGTTTTATTTTTAATTTAAAAGTGCTACTTAGTTTGAGCAACTTATAAAAATCTTATTTTTACTTTAACTTTGATCTTAAAAATTGAAAATTAAAAAACTGAAAACTACAGTTTTAATGAAAAAGTTCGTAACGACAAAGTAGCCAGTTATCTAGCTGTCAAAGGAAGTGAAATGCTGGCAAACTAAGAGGGTACCCCCTTACTTACGACACCTAGAATGAGATTTTAATTTTTGAATGATTCGTTTGCTAATTTTCAAATGACAAAATGTAGTTTGAAAAGATAAAAAGGTGAATGTCACGATCATATCAGAACCTTGAGCCATTGACCCTGCAATAATGTTAGAAAAAATTGAAATCATAGCTACATGCAGTTGCTTTTAAATAATCTACACGTAAGAGATATTCGACCGTAGAAATATTTATCGAAAGCACACCACACACACACACACACACACACACACACACTCATTCACACGCATTCAGATGATTAAAATACACGTACACGCAAATATATTGCACATGCAACTAATCACATGCACGCGCAAACACGGCGTATTGAAACGGGCCTGTCTTGAAGCGTCAAGATGAATCCAATCACTTCAATCAATAGCTTGCTATGTTGCTTCTACAAAAAAAAATTGAGAAAAACAACAACGCATCGATTTTTAGTTACCGCCTTTGTAAAGTAGAAAATGTTTCTAAGAAGCGAATCTGGCAGCAACAGACCTCATACATAGAAAGATGGATGTTAGTTGTAGCTATTTCACTCTTAGTATTTTCTTTTCTCATTAAATAAGAGAAAAAGATTTCACAAATTTTCAAAACATGTATGTTTAAAAGGCAAAATGTTAGATGTACAAATACACATTAATACTAAATCAACATTTACTTTAATTAATAACTGTTTATTTAAAAATTTTAGAAAAATGTTTGAGCTATGTAACCTTGTTAATGGTTAGTAAAGCGTGTTGGAATGTAGATTTAATGATAAATACATAATAAGTAAAAATGAAAAGAGAAAACGAAATGAAAAAAGTGTAAAAAAAAATCGGCATTTTATCTGAAGCATGATGGATGGTAAGTAAGCCTGATAGTATTAAAATGATTGATGTATCGAGAATGAGTGGATAGGCTGCTTGGATAGCTCCAGTAGAAACACGACGCCAACCAATCCCATCAACAAATGAATTGAACTTGAAAAACCATTTAAATCGTCTTCATTATGAAACTTTTTAAAATTTCACGCTTTCTCAGCTGATGTGCCGTGCAAACAACACACACAGTTCACGCACGCACACATAAGTTTGATTTTTGTCACAGTTACTAGACCTGTTTGTCCTCTGATACGTTAGTGTGTGTTTATTTTCTTTAGATAGCGTTGATGTATGGTTGCAGCAAAAATTGCGTGAAGATAAGCTAGAACAATTTTTTCTGCCTGCGTGTTCTCTTGCCTTTTCATGATGGTGGTGAGAGTAAGAGATCAGCTTACATAGCATCTTCACACGACTGTCAGTTAGTTTCCTGTTTCTTTAAAGTTCAAAAATTTCTCCAAATTTTTATATAAAGGTTTTCATGGTGATGTATAAATTTGAAATTAGTTATTTAATTGTCTTGTTGATACGGAAATAATTCCACCGTACATTTAAACGTTAAAGTTTATTTCGCATAATTGAAAATCCTATCGCATCACTAAAGTTCAATTCTTTACAAATTACACCGCACAAATCATAATGATTTGAAGCAAATTTGATGATGATGATGAGGATGATGATGATGATAGTTACGATGATGATGATGATGATGACGATGACGACGATGATGGTGATGATAATGATGATGATGATGATGACGATGATGGTGATGACGATGACGACGACGATGATGATGAGGATGATGGTGGTCATAATGGTGATGACAAACTGAGATGGAGAATGGACATCGCTTTAGATGATGGCGACAAGTTTGAAACGGCCAATGACGAAGTGAGTGTTTTGTTGTCGCTCGTGTTAGTTTTTATTGCCATTTTATCGTTGCCCACATCAGGCATGTATTTGTAGTACTTTCGGTAGCTGCGCGATTGTCTCGCCAGTACTCGTCTTGTAATTTTTGCTGGTTGGTTAGTTGTTGTCGGGGGTGGTGGTGTTGTAGTTGTTGTTTTTGTGGTGGTTGTTGTTGTTGTTGTTAGTCAGTTAGTTATTTCGCTAGTTAGCCAATTAGTTAGTTGTTGTGGTCGGGTAACTGTTATAATTTTTGTGGTTATCAATTTCATGTTTAATATGAGCCGCTGCGAGGTGCCAGATAAATAGACTACTTTTAATTCTTACCCTTCCCTCGGATACACTTTGTAGAACATGATATAATTCAAAAGTGATGCTGAGTAAATGAATTAGATTAATAATTAAAATTATACATGCTTATATAAACAATATACACCAACACACACACACAAACAAACGCACATCCACACTCACACACACACACAAACACACAAACAAACAAACAAACAAACACACGCATATATTTTTAGGATTTAATACTTACCAGTCGTATTAAAAATTTGTAAGCCTTCTTCATATTGTTCCTTCCTTACAATTTTCTTGTCACAGTTGAACAACTACTACAACTTGTAATGATGGTCTCAATCTTTGTTGTTGTTTGTTTTGATATTTTGTTGTTTGTATGTCTTTGTTTATTTGCCCTGTTGTTGGTTTGTTGTTTGTTTTTATGTATTGTTTGTATGTGTTTGTTTTAATGTTTTGTTATGTGTTTGTATGTTTTGTTATGTGTTTGTTTATATGTTTTGTTATGAGTTTGTTTGAATTTTTTGTTGTTTGTTGCTTGCTGGCTTTGTTTTTGTGTTATTGTCAATTGAATTTTTCTACATTGGTTATGTCGGTTGGGTTTTATCTTTCATTAGAATTGATGTCTTTGGTCATTTAATGACGATGAATACAAATGATGATAATGACATAGATGCTGATAATGATGATCACGATCATGATAATGATCTCACTAAAACACAAAACAACACGAAGCCAATGAAACTCAAACCGAAAACGTTTTTATGTGTTCTAACTTCCTTCCGCAGTTAAATGCATTTAAAGATAGTTTTTATTGCAGTCTCAAATTATTTATCACAGGATGGATTAAACGCATTTTTCGTTGTTCAAATTTATCATGAGATTTTTTGTATTTCAACTTTTTTGAGAAATGTAATTTGTAATGTAATAAAGATTAAAAAATAATTCAAAAGTTATTAAATTTAAAACTGAATCTATGCTGAAATACTAATACTGAAATACTAAATAACTAGGTTATGTTATTGAGGCCGTGATATAAGATGTGAGGAAATGGAGGATAAGACGAGTCATAGGATAGAATATATATTGTGGCTGGCTGGCTGGCTGGCTGGCTGGCTGGTTATGTACGATCGGGTGTGGTTGTAGGTCGCAAAAAATATTAAGGTTTATATCTGTCTGTCTGCTTATTTCTGTCCGTATATTTCTGTCTGTCCCTCTGTCTGCCCGTTTGTCTTTTAGCCTGTCAAATCATCATATATTGGTTGTGACTTTGCCTGTAAAGTTTCTCCAATACAGAGTAACTTTAATGAAAAATATTTTGAAACAACGATTTTTAAAAATTTGACTTAAAAAATAATCGTATCCTTCAAAAAGGTGTCTCATAATGACAAAAAATTTATTTTATATGTAAGTGAATAAGTGAATCAGTTTTGTCTTTTTGATGAATTATAAGTTCTACATTTTGGTTTGTTCGTTATTAGTGGCAAGATGTTAATAACTAAAAATAAACATTATTTGTTAGTATTAAAATAATATACACATATATATGTATATATATATATATATATTATAATATTAAAACAATTTTAAGTATAGAAAAATATGATTGAAAACAGATCTGATTGGAACCGTTTGAGAGCCCGATCGCGTGTCTTTTGTTATAAAGTTTGATTTTTTTCATATTTTCGTTTTTTTATATTAAATATTTTGTAGCTAACTGTACAGTACAGATTTTTGTTATATGGGTTTAATCTGTCGTTTTGAGTTGCTTCCTGCAACTCGCTCACTTACATTTCCAAATATTTGAAATATTTTTTCGTTTTTAAAAAAAAATCAAATGCAGTTGATAACATTACAAATTTCTGAAACGAAGACTATCAGCTTTTCTGAGAAACATTTTTTTGCTTTTATCGTTGCTTTGGACATGTTTTCAGGAAATTAATGTTGTAATTGAAAATTTTACGGGGGAA